GATCTTGTTGAAACTCTCCCGGATCATGATGTGGCACTCATTGGTATCCTGTACTTCATTACTGCATACTTATTTCCTAGAGATTATAAGAAAGTGGTTGACCATTACTTGTTCACGCTTGTTGAGGATTTCCCCGCGCTGAACAGTTTTCCATGGGGAAAGTTACTGTTTGAGATTACTTTGAGTTCTTTAAAAGATGCATTGAGTCGACAAACCGCACATTATAGGCTACGAGGTATGTTGGTAGCCTTTCAAGCATGGATCTACGAAACCTTCCCTGACCTAGATGAAGTTATTGTCACAAGGGTATCGAGGACGCACCCTCGAATCAATAACTGGAATGCAAACGAGCAACCTTCTGCATCTAAGTTGGAGGAGCTAGGCTGCTTCAATAAGCCTAATGTAATGTTTCAGTAATCCATATTCTTCTGATAGTGGAACATGTGGTAAATTTATTGGTTCTCTAATCTTTTACTGTAATGCAATGCAGATTGAAATATGTGACCTAAAGCCTACTGAAGCTGAAATGGCAATGCCATACATGGATGGCATGCAGCATAACAAAATAATTCAACCAGAGTCTTCTCAGAGCAGCCGTCGAAAGGAAAGCAGGAAGGGAAAGGCTGTTGATCCTTCACACTTGAGTGAGAAATCAGTGCCTTTGGTAACGGACACTGGTGTTAGAAAGGCTCACATTACAAATGATGATGACGATTTTGTGGATCCTCCACGACGATGTGAGGGGCTATCCCATCAAGAAACACCCCGTGATGATGAAGGCCCTTCAGGTCCCCCACTTTCTCCAAATGAAGAACAACATCATGGGATCCAAGGGAGTGCTGTAAGATTATTTTTATTTCTGTTCAATTGTTTTCAAATTGTGGTCACAGTTCACATAGTACTAGTCACAGTTCACGTAGTACTGGTCACAGTTCAATTCTCATGGTCACAGACATCTTTTATAAGGTCACATTTAACTATTTTATCTTAATCATGTTTACAGGTGCTTCACGATTTGAATGCGCAACTTTCAGAACTTAAGTCACAGAATAAAGTATTAACCGTGGAGATGGACGCCATCAAGTCACAGATGTCGAGCCTCAACTCTGATTAGGCAAAAAAGATGTCTGAAATCATCCTAATACAAGGACAGTTAAAACATGACATGATCGAGATTAGGACGAACATGCAATTCCTGTCTGAATCCGTGACTGCAATGATCTCAAGCTCCATGGACGAGATATTAAGGCGATTCAATGATAGGAAAGGTTGTCCAGTTAATGAATATGAAGACACGGAAGCTGCTGTCGAAAGATTCGAGAAGATCGACGAGGTGGGTACATGATATGTTCAATCTATCTATCACTGAACATAGTTACAGATTTTATGTCTGAAATTCTCCAATTTCACATACAGGTGGAAAAACTGCAACCTGTTGTCGACAGGAAAGGGAAGGGAAAGGTCGACCCAACTGAAGGTGTTGCCTTTCCAAGTAGTCTTGAACCGCCATCATTTGACCTGGGTATTGAATACACACAACCGGATGATTTGGAGTCTTTAGAAATTCAAAAGCAGGTAGATGCTGTCATATCTGATGTGATCACAGCATCCCAAAATGTTGACGAAGAGGTAGTCAAATTATTATTTTTTAGTGTAATATGCTAGTCACACAACGTTTTCATCGAATTTATGTAAACTAAATGTGACCTTTACAAGTCACAGGGATCACCAACTACAAAACCGGCATATGCATTACCAGTTAAGCGGGCTTCAAGGCCTGCGAGGATACTGCGGTCCCCATTTGTTGTCAGGGAAGGAAAGGTACTGCGGCATGACGGTAATGTTATTGTATTTGAAAATTATAAAGATCATGTTGATGAATCTGATAAATCAGCATTCTTGGGTTGGTTTCAGAGAGGGTACAAACCCCAAAACAGGCATGTACATGTTTCTTATATTTTCAAATACACTGGTCACACAGTTACAGTATCTTGACAGTGAACTTTTGGCAACAGAAAAAAGTTTAATGAGCAAGATGACCAAATCAAACCAGCCTTTAGTATTGGCTTATACCCTGTCGGTCACAAGATATGGTTCCATCAGCTGATAAATGCAGAAACGTCTTTAAGCGGCTCGGTATGGTAACGCTTATCTATCTGTTCACTACACATTTCCTTGTTAACCAGTCACACAACATTAAGAACCTCATACAACACTATGCACATACTGCTGAGCAGCCTACTGTCATAGAGTCATAACTTTTTAATGTTGTACCTAACTGTGTCCTTCATGTTCAAACAGCACATGGATGCATGCTTCTACTATATTCGCCAGGTAGCAAAATTTGGGAAAGTAAAGTTAAGAGCTACAACGACGGACTCGTGGTTCCAGAACAAGATAAAAGATATATTTCCCGCTTTCCAAAAAGACCCTCAAGTTCTGTTGTCGGAGAGCAGCATGATTAAGGCTGTCACAGGTCGCTTGATATCCCTACGCACATCTTGGGCCGATGTAGACTATGTGTTCATACCACTCCTGCCCACGAACAAAGCTCACTGGATGCTAGGTCTAGTAGAATTTAGAAGCCATACTTTGATGCTGTTCAATTCAGCTGGAAAAACATATCGTGATTGGAATGTGCTGGAAGGTATTGAACCCTATGTGAAGGTATTGCCTGCTCTTATGAAAGCGTTGGGAATTTCCAAAAAAGACCCCGATTACAACGAATCTGAATGCAAGCAAATGAAGGTGACCATTGACAGTACCCTGCCTCAGCAGACGAATGGGTAAGTATGTGACCAACTACAGCAGTATAACTTGTAAATTAATTAATTCCTAANNATTTGTAAATGAGTTTTATACTTCAGTTGGTAGCATTTTATATTTCTTTAAAGCAATGGAGGTGTTTGTACTCAATACTGTCATGTGTATGTGAATATGCTTTTGCAATACATGGGTGCCGTAACCTTCATTTGTTAATATGTTGTTGCAATACATGGATACACAGTTGTGCTTTTGGTATATGATTTATTTTTTAATGTCGTGTGTAAATTAGTTTACATATCAACAATACCAGGTCACAGATTTAAACTCTCATTTGGTGGGAGTTACTTTGGCATGACATATGTCGATAACAGGTCACATGTGATATACATAGCAAGTTACGGATTTTAGCACACATAATATATGATGCAAAGATCAGGTCACAGGTCGAACTGTACCTCAAACATTAGGTCACAGGACCATGTCACAGATTTAGTATTGCTTTTGGTCGGCGTTTCAGTTTGTCATTACATATGTTAATAGCAAGTCACATAGTAAATAACAGGTCACATACCTGGCCACTGATTTGGTTGTGATTTTGGTCACAGTTTTTGTTTGCCATGGCACATGTCAAGAACAGGTTACATATCAATTACAATAGCCTGCCAAGAGTTGATCACAGTACATTTTATTTATGGAATCAGTGACCTGGACATATATTTCTTCTCCACCATGTTTAGGTCACATTTCATGCCTTTAAGTGAATTAATAGTCACAATTCAAATATATTGCTGTGTAGAGAATCTATAATCACAAATTTACAAAACTCTATGTTCAACTGAATAAAATGTGTTGATGTACTTCGTTTATCATTTATTACCTTACTATTTAAAAATTATTTGTCAATTGATCAATTGAAACACATGTTTACATGTTGGTATGCTAAAAAGAATTCAAGAATGCGACCAAACTTTGATAAGTCTTTATCATGTATTGACTTCCTATCAACCGTTCTTACTTAATGGGACCAAACTTGAGCACCTTCTGCGGTTGTGACCATGTGCACCACAACGTCCACATCTTACTTTTGGCTTCCCTTCCCTAGATGATCTCTTCCTCTTCTCAGTAGGTCTTCCAGAACTCCGCTTTTGGTTAGGAGCTAAAACAATTTGGAATTCTACTTCATCGGGCACTCTCCACTCGCCTGGATTTCCAACGGGATATACCGAACTTTCGTAAGCATTTACATATGCTTCCTTTGTGTAATAATAGGAACAATAAGAATATGCATCCCTTTTTGTATGTGCGATTACAGCTAATGCATGTGGACAAGGCATCAAATCGACCTGTAGCATCCTGCAAGTGCATGTACGTTGCTCAATATCAACAACAAATGTGGACCTTTCATCGCTCACAGAGAACACTGTTTGGTTGGAAGGAGAAACCTGTGAGAGTGTAATAGCACCAATGTTATGTGTTAGTTTAAACTCAAAAAAGAATAGGTCACAGACATTCATATCTCAGAGCACAATGGTATGTTCAGGTCACAGGACTTCATACTCAGGTCACAAGTTTAGCATTAGTAACAAATTATATAGCACGACAAACAAAGTACATAGCGTCACATACGTAAATTAGTGGTCACATGAAATTAATATTTGGACACATAAGCACATACGTACATTCCATGTCACAGACACCTATGATATAATCACATGCATATTTCTGTTTAGTCCACATACACAAACTTCAAGATACGTAAAAACCTTACCCTCAAGTTCCTTAATTCTGAACTCATTCTCCTCATGACGTTCTCGAACTTGCTAGTCAGCATCGTGAAAGTTCCATGCGCTTCGTCTCTATGTTTACAGAACCAATTTTGTACTGTTTGTCGCAATGACTCCAGCAAGAATACAATGGGGTAATTCTTAGCTGCCTTTGTGACCGCATTTACTGATTCTACAATGTTTGATGTCATTGTAGAGTATCTGTTTGCCGGCATATGTATTCGTGACCACTTTTCAGGGCCTACTTCATCCTGCCAAAATATATCGTAGTATGAGAATAGTATAAAAGGATATATGTGACCACTTCACTGCATGTGATAATGCAGTGCTGTAGTCAGTACAGTACCAGGTAATCACGAATCTTATCATTCATTGCGTCTAGTTGTTGCATGTTGTATTCAAATTCTTCTAATGTGTAAGCCCGGACAGCCGAATTGAAAGCCTGCGTAATATTTTGCCCTGATTTCCCATAATATGATTTGAGATTCTGCAGCAAATGGTACGAGCAGATACCATGGCAACTTTCCGGGTACACCTGTTTTATTGCTTTCTTTATACTGCCATGACGGTCCGATACAAAACACAATCCTTCTCTGTGCCCATATGCATTCTTCAGTTTCTCCAAAAACCATCTCCACGATTTGTCGTTCTCATTATCCCCTACTCCAAAGGCAAGAACAAATATGCCATTATTTGCATCCTGTGTACATGCTGTGAATAGGGTACCTCCGTCATGACCATTCAAATAAGTACCGTCAACGACAATTACGGGCCTACAATGTTGCCACCCTTGTATTGATGCACCGAGTGCCATAAAACAGTACTTGAACCTATTTTGACTATCGACCTCCAACTCTGTGACCGTACCAGGATTTCTTTGTCGAATCATGTAGAAGAAGCTTGGTATCCTACCGAATGATTCCGTCGGATCATCCCTAATCATCTTCAATGTTTGTTCACGGGACCTCCAAGCTTTCGAGTAATTCAAATATACTCCAAACGTATGTAGCATATCACTGTATATGTCCTTTGGTGTGTATATGGTGCCAGCCGATGTGTACTTATACTTGATGCTAGATGACACAACTGCAGCTGATACTTGTCTGTGTGACCCCAACACCACATCCCCAACACCACATTTGATGCACATGTGTGACTACCAATCTTTCGAATCTTGAATAGATCGTTTTACCCCATTTTGACGATCGGCATATCCAAGTACATCCTTCATGAGAACACCTCACCACATATTCTTTCTTGTCGGATCGTTCAACCATAAACTCAAACATGTTTCGTATGGCAAAAAACGATAGGCTCAATTTTAAAATATCCTTATCACGGAAAATCCTGCCTTCTTCGACCTGAATAGCATCTGCTATAGAAACAATCGTGACTTCATTATCACAAATGTGACCTAAATGTTGACTTGATGCTTCGCAAATTTCTGTGGCCACATCCTGCAACGTATAAAGCTCACTGTTACGATAAGCATTATCTGTGACCATGTCAGATGGGTACTGTATTGCTGCATCAATTATGTCAATGATTAATGGGTATTTAGCTGGATCATGATTGACTTCTTTCAACAGAATGTATGCAAGCACGTTGCTGTCATTTTTTATCCTGATTGCAGGCAAATCGTCGTTGAGTATATACTTCAATGATACTGCTACCTTTGTCGGATCCAAACTGAACTCTGACATAATCATGTTTACAAGGTTTATATAACTGCTTCCACGGTCTACCAACGCCAAAGCTGACTGAGATCCATGCAACAAACATACATGCAAGTACACCATTTCTGCAAAATTGAACTTCAAAGCATCACATTCTCGATGGTTAATTTAATACTGTGCATATAGTTTTATATAAGAATTTATGCAATAACATGAAGTCACCATTGACACGGAAAAATGCAGGTCACATTTTGGCGAGACACAGGTCACATTTGTAACATGTCTTACAAATAATCAAAAACAAATTGAGGTCACATTTTTTTCACAGCAATCACATTCAATCGATCACATTCAATATTGTCTACGACTGGTTACACTCAATTAAGTCACATCTCATGCATGTTGTTCATTTTTCACTGCACAATATTATTGAATTTGAGACATATGTGGCTACGATAGATACGGACGCTGGAAATTTGCGTCTAGAAGAAATTCGGAACTAATCTGATGATGCTAATTGCGAAAAAGGAAGGAGTGCAATAATCGGATCAATACCTAGATTGATTTCTGTTATGCGAAAACGTCAATTTCTCCAAGACGATCCCAAATCTGTGACACGAAAATATCAATGTCGATGAATTAGGGTTCTACAGTGTCCGGATTGAAATTACTCTGGATGTTTTATTTTTTATGATGATTTTGTAGCGATAGAGACGTTTTATTAATGGAAACTAGGCGGGATTATAGGAAAGATACGTAACAGAAATATATATATGTATGTATGTATATATGTGTGTGTGTGTGTGTGTGTATATATATATATATATATACCTGATATTTGAATATATACTTTCTATACCTCAATTGCGAAATGGTGTCAAGTATACACCTTATATATGAATTTTTCCCTTTCGATTTTCTGTTTTGAGGGTCTGCTTTAAAAATTTTTAAAACGCGTTCAGTTTGTCATTGGAAAAATTATCTCTAAATATAGAAAATTAAAAAATACATTTGGTTTGAAATTTTGAAAAATTATTTTATGATATTTCATTCAATAAAATTTGATTGGTCGGTAAAAAAAAAAAAAATTGAATGTCAATATATTACTACATAATATTACATTTTAAAGTTGATAAATCTTATAATATTTTTTTCTCGCTACAAAAATAAAATAAAAAGTGAACATTAAACTGAGTTCAAAATATATGAAACAAAAATAAAAAATAATGATGTGGACTGAGAATACTCTTAACCGTATTTACTTAAATATGTTTTTTTAGAATTTTTGTATATATAATTATTAAGAGCTTTCAAACTTTTTTTATTTTTTTAATATTTTATAACTTTATTTTTAAGAAATTTTTTTAAAATTTTTATTTTACAACTTTTTAATTTATTTTTATTGATTTTTATTTTTTTTAATTTTAAAGTTGTATTTGTTAGACTTTTATATTTTTATTTTGTAAAATTTTATTTTAAAACCTATTTTTCATATTTTTAGTATTTTCAATTTTTTTTACTGAAAACATTCAAAATGTAAAAAATGCGTTTTGAATTTTAGTTTATATGTTTATCTTGGTTTTCAAAAATATTTTTTCAAAAATAGCAGATAAAATACGTTTTCAATGTATTTTCGAAAATGTTTTGAGTTTTATTTTATATGTTTATCTTTGCGGAAGAAATACTTGCGTTGCATATTATAAAGGTTGAACTCCAACATTGAGGGCCCCCACCGCCCCGTCCCGCCCCTAGAGCTTTGTGAAGGAGGTAAACCGCGGGATGTGTCCCAATAAGTTAAAGAACAAGAGCTGCCTGTACACTGCGCCTACAAGAAGTCCAATTTCATGTTTCAGGAATAGAACCCCCACACTGCGGCTGTCAGCAAGACGTGAGATAACATCACTCATATCCTTTACACCACTGGACTGTGCCCCGGGGGGCACTTGCGTTACATATTAGAATGTTGTATGAAGGTTGAGTTATACATGGCATAATATTTATCATTCATGTAAACCGAAATATATAATAGGAAATATCATAAACCCAAATGATCTCAGAGTACCAAAATAATCAAAATATTGATTGTCAACAATTGTACTTAAATAACCATTATTTCAACATATTATTTAAATGTTTTTGGTTCTTGCCCTTCCATTAATAGGTCTGCCATCACAAATTTGGCACTCGTATGCCCAATGTTTTTCAACATCTTTGTAACGAAAGCCCAAGGAATATTTGTCAGTTTTCATTCTTAGAGCAGAAAATTGATGCGGAATTTTGACAAGTACTTATTTGGGATAACTTAAAAAATTGATGTCAAAGTTAGTAAGGGTCCGTTTGATTGTAAAGATGCAATTGAATTGAATTGAAAACGAATTTCAGGGAATTGAATTGCCTAGAAATTATTTTCCTTGAAATTGTAAATTATTATATTTGATTGGTATAATTTTCTACGTGGAAGATGTTGAAATAAAAGTATTTTTTATATTCGTTTGGCTTCGTTTTACATGAAAATTGTCTATTAAATGGATGAAATTTACTGGTATTGAAAATGAAATTTGTTTCCATTAAAAAAAAAATTCAAGAAATTCAGCTATCTTTGGGTGTTTATTTGACTTTGTTTTAGAAATATTTTTTTACAGTAATTCTTAGAATTTGTTTACATTACCAAAAAAAAACGAAAACGAAAAAAAAATAAAAAATAAAAAATTGCTACAATACCTAGAAAAACCAATTCCCACATGAAAACATGGAAAACCACACTTTCCATTACAATCAAGAATTGGAATTCCATGGAAATAATTGTGCTACCAAACAACAAATTAATGGAAAAGATGGAATTGAAATTCCATTTCCATGTAATTCCATACTATCAAACATGACCTAATTAATTTTAACCACATATTTTATGAAATCCACAACTTTTAACTTTTCAGTTACACAGTTCAACAACTATTATCAAAATATGTTAACACTTTTACCGGAAGTTCAGCCAAACATTCCTTAAATTTTTAGCAGCTAAGCAATAATGTTGACAATTTCAAGTCTTAAAATAAAATTCTACAACCTTAATTTTCTATTTAGTGTAGTACGTATCACGTATATATCTTTGCAACATTTGTGTTTGTCATAGTACGGCATGTTTAATCATGGGATAATTAGTCTAAAATATTATTGCCTTTTGATGTTATTGAAACGTATCTACCTTTTTGTTTTGACATTTTCATCCCTATTTTCACATTTTATTACAGAAAATATCATTTTAATCCAATTTCTCAATTAAAAAAAATATAAAATTACAAATATACCTTCCTATTTAAATAAAATAAAAAAAGAAAAGAAAACAACAAATTACAATTATACTCCCAAACTTTTCAAAAACTGCAAATGATTCCAATAAATTATTAAATGGTAATTAGCGCAAAACGTTCCTACCTTTTCAATATTATGTGCAAAACGTTTATATCTTTTATTTTTTAACATTTTCACCCTTATTTTCATATTGCATTGCGAAAATCATCATATTCATCCATTTTCTCAATTAAAAGCTATAAAATGAAGAATATACCTTCCTATTTAGATAAAACAAAAATAAAAAACAAATTGCATCTATACTTCCAAAAAAATTTAAAAATACAAATAAATCCAAATAAATAATTAAAAACAAAAAAAATAAAAAAATCACTTTCTTTTTGTAATTATATATTTGAAATTTATTTGTACCTTTATGAAAAATTTGGGAGTATAGTTGCAATTAATTATTTATTTTTTTGTTTAAATAGGAGGGCATGTAATTCATTTTAAAGCTTTTAATTGAAAAAATGATGATTTTCGAAATGTAATGTAAAAATAAGGTGAAAATGTCAAAAATGAAAGGTATGGACGATTTGGATAATAATATGGAAAGGTAGGAACGTTTTGTGCTAATTGCCCTTTTAATAATTTATTTGGACTCATTCGTAATTTTTTTAAAAGTTTGGGAGTATAATTACTTGTTATTTATTTTCTCTCCTTTTTTGTTTTATTTAAATATGAGGGTGTATTTGTCATTTTACATTTTTATTGAGAAATTGAATAAAAATGACCTTTTTCGTTAAAATGTCAAAAAATGAAAGGTAATGACGTTTTGCACAATAACAATGAAAGGTAAAGACATTTTGTGCTAATTACCTTTTAATCGGGTTATGACTTCTAGTTATATGTTGCAACATTCCAATTAAAATTCTTTCAAAATCTTTGCTTTGTTTGGCACATGTTTACAATAACGATCAAATTATTTTTTATCTACCTATTGTTTTAGGATCTACAAGTATTATTCACTTATCAACTATTCATTTTGATTGATTTATAGTATAAATTCATAATCCATTCCACAGACGTGTAGTTTTATCCCGTCAAGTAGATATTGCTATTTTCCCTTATTTTGAAGATACATGAATATCAAAACGTGTTGGGAGCTATTTAGGGGGGTGTATTCAATTGGGATTTTTAAAGACTTTTGGAGACTTTTTTAAGTGGGTGACTTTTGTGGACTTTGTGAAATTTTAAGTAATTTTTATGGATTTGGTAGGAATTAGTAAAAGTTTTTCCTGGATTTGTGGAGACTTTTACTAAAGACTTTTAAAGACTTTTGAGGAATTTTTTTTATTTTTATTTTTTTAAGGAAATATGATTTTCACAGTGTTAAATGTGAGATATCGAGAAATATTTATGAGAATTCACAACATTCACTTAAAAACGAATCTTTGAAATTAGAGGGAGAGATAGAGATCAACTAGTGAAAATTTACCATAATCTGATTTGAAGAAAACTCATAGCAAAGATTCAAAGAAATACCTAATTGGAAGAGATAGAGGAAAAACCTAGAGGGAAATAAGAATAGCATACTCTTTTTAGAAATCTCTCTATGGATGAGAGATTTTGGGAAAAAAATCCTATTTATGTTTTCTATTAAAAAGTCTCTGAAAGTCCAAGAAATTTTAAATTCCCTGAAAGTCCCTCTAAATTGAATACCCCAAAACTTGTAGAGACTTCTAAAAAGTTTCAATTGAATACCCCGTAACTTCTGGAGACTTTTTAAAAGTCTATAAAAGTCTCTATTGAATACACCAAAACTTTTAGAG